GGTCCCAGAATATCCTGGGGTTGACTGGCTGGTTTGCCTGGGGCCTGGGGAGGAAGTGCAGGACTGGGCGGCCCTGGGGAACTGGGAAGATAAGCTGCTTCGGCCTTGGGCAGAGGGGCCAGCAGTGGCCTGATATAACACTCACAGCATCAGCCTGAGAAACGCGATAGCGCAGGCCCTGGCGCCCCCAGCCCCCACACTCCTGGGAGGAACCCTGTTCCCAGAAGTCTGTCCCTGGACACTGCCGTCAACCTCGGAGTTCATTTCCTGGTTAAACAAACATCTATATTAAATGGCCCGGTTGGGCAACGCCCAGTAGCAGCTTCTGAGGAGAGCCTCGGGCACATGGCCTGCCAGGCCCCCTTCTTGTCCGGCTGGTGAAGACACATCCATCATCGGCAGAGTCACTCAGGCAGGACAGCCCCGTGCGTCCCACCCAGAGTCTGCCCGTCTGGCAGGAGAGGTTGAGAAGGACGTGCAGAGTGGCCCGTGCCCCAGTCTGCCCCTGACAGCTTTGAGATCGAAACAATAGTAATGGTGACAACTCTGAAAGTTGGGGTGGGCCTCACCACTCCCATCCATCATCTCATCGTCTCGTCCTTGCACGGTGGGAGTGCTGACCCCGTCTTCCAGATGAGGCATGGATGCATCTGAGGGGGGCTTGCCCTCAGTCGCGTAGCCACTCGTGGCCTGGCTGGGATGGGGTCCGGGCATCCTGACTTCCAGCATAGCTCTTTCCTTTGTAGCATGCTCCGAGGTAGGCACTGCTCCAAGGCTCGGAGATCAGAGAGAACCGAGTCAGAGGACTAGTCTGGGCGCCCCCTGGAGTGCCAGACTCCTGCTACCACCTTTCCAGCGCAGGTGAAGAATAGGTGTTTCCAACTTGAGAAACCCTGCCATCTGTCATGAGCAGAGATGCCTTTTACCGAGTGCTTACCTTGTGCCAGATGCACTGCTAAGTGCTTGGTTGTTGAAGCCAGACTACCTGGTTTTGAATTTTGGCTCTGCCACTTACTAGCAGTGACTTTGGGCAAAGGTTAGAACTTACCTGCGCCTCAGTTTCCTCATCTGCAAAATGGAGGTAATAAGAATAGTACCTTGCGGGCACCTGGGTGGCTCAGTCGGTTAAGCGACTGCCTTCGGCTCAGGTCATGATCCTGGAGTCCCGGGATCGAGTCCCGCATCGGGCTCCCTGCTCGGCAGGGAGCCTGCTTCTCCCTCTGACCCTCCCCCCTCTCATGCTCTCTCTATCTCATTCTCTCTCTCGCAAATAAATAAAATCTTAAAAAAAAAAATTAAAAAAAAAAAGAATAGTACCTTGCTCATAAGTTGTTGGGAGGATTCAGTGAGAATACATGTAAAAAGCTAGAGCCATTCTTAGCACATACTAAGTGTTCAATGAATGCTAGCTGTTCTGTTATTAAGTAGGTGTTATTATTATTTTATTACCGCTGTGTTACAGATGGGGCTCAGAGAAGAGAAATCACCTGTTCAAGGGCACAGGTGCAGGAAGGGGTGGAGCCCAGGATTTGAACCTAGGTCTTCTGACATCAGAGCACGCACTCTCAGCATCATGCTGGATGACAAGTGAGAATTGAGTCACAGGCCTCTGGGAGATAGGAGGTCATCTTGTTTTCATTTTATAGGGGAAGAACCTGAGTTTGAGATCTTCTGACCCCTGTCCTTTCTCTACAAAGTCATTCTCTTGATGGAAACTTGACCACAGGATTTCTTAGCTGTTAAGGCTCGTCCTGGCAGAATATATTTTCCATTGCGAGGGTTTTGTTTACAAAGCCTTTCACATGTGGGACTCTGCAGGAGCCCCTGCTTGGGAGGAGTGAGCTACTCTTGTCCACAGAGCCCCACACTAGCCTTGCAGATGCAGAAGGCAGACAGTGAGTCACGATTCGGCGCCTGTGGGAGGGCGGGAGGCCAGGTGAGGCTGCAGGCCTCTGCAGGCCTCGCTGTTTTCCCCTCCTGCTCCACGGATGCTTTGATAGCCCGCCAAGAGGCAGCAGTGAGATGCAAGAGGGAGACTGACAAAGGACCCAAGTTCTGCCCTATTTGGGTGGCCTTGAAGAGAATGAAATCTCCAAAAACACTATGCTTCTTAGCCAAGAAACTATTAGGGGTGGAGCAGCTAGAGAAGGGAATTCATTTATTGAGTGCCTACTGTGTGCCAGGCACTGTATCTCATTTCATTTATTTATTCAGTTGTCGATTGAACATCTCATGTGTGCAAGGATAGCATCAGGTGGTGTGGTTGCTGTAAAGAAGAGCACAGCAAGATGACAGCTTATAACAAGTGGCTCTCACCCAGAGGTGAGATTTTGCCCTCCCCCTGCAGAGGACATTTGGCACTGTCTAGAGACATTTTTGGTTGCCCCAAATTGGGGTGGGGCTGCTCCTGTCATCCAGTGAGTAGAAGCCACAGATGCTGTTAATGATCCTACAGTACACAGGACAGCCTTTGCAACCAAAGCTGCCTGGCCTAGAATGTCAGTAGTGCCAAAGCTGAGAAACCCTGGGGTAGAGAATGACTTCGGGTGATCTTTGTTTAGGTCAGGTGGTCATGGATGGTCACACTAAGGATGGGATTTTTGATCTGAAAACGTCAGACAGTAAGAATGAGATCTGGGAAAGGGCGTCACATGCAGAGGGAGCAGCAAGTACAAAGGCCTTGAGTCAGGAATGTATCATCAAAAAGACCAGTGCACGAGGGGCGCCTGGGTGGCTCAGTCGGTTGGGCATGTGCCCTCGGCTCAGGTCATGGTCCCGGGGTCCTGGGATTGAGCCCTGCGTCAGGCTCCCTGCTCAGCAAGGAGCCTGCTTTCCCTCTCCCCCCGCCCCCACTCATGTTCTCTCTCACTATCTCTCTCTCTCTCTCTCAAATAAACAAATAAAATCTTTAAAAAAAAAAAGACCAGGGGCGCCTGGGTGGCTCAGTTGGTTAAGCGACTGCCTTCGGCTCAAGTCGTGATCCTCGAGTTCCGGGATCGAGTCCCACGTCAGGCTCCCTGCTCAGCAGGGAGTCTGCCTCTCTCTCTGACCCTCCCCCCTCTCATGCTCTCTATCTCATTCTCTCTCTCAAATAAATAAATAAAATCTTTAAAAAAAAAATTAAATTAAAAAAGACCAGTGCACAAGATCAGGCTGATTATTCTCCACCATATTTCGGATAAAAAAAAACTGAGGCTCAGAGGAAACAGTTTGCCAGCCACCATACAATTACACAATGTGGGAGCCGGGATTTGAACTTGGATATGCTTCATCCTAGAGTCCCTTTGCTTTCCACTACCTCAACTGCTACTCTCAGAGGAATGGCTCAGCCTTCATTTTGCAGTTGAGACCTCTCCCCTACTTGACCCTGTAAATTATTTTTTTCTTATTCCATCCCTGGGCACTTGGTTCCAGCCCCGGTTTCTACCTCAATAACAAAAACCACAAAGATAATGATAGCCATTACTTTCGTAGTGCTTACTGTGCACCAGGCACTATTCCACGTGAGCGATATCTATATAGATACATAGATAAGAGATAGATCTCTCTCTGTATATGCACTCATTTGGTCTGCACAATATGCAGGTTTTAAGTACCCTTATTCTGTTGTGCCCATTTTATAGATAGGAAAATTGAGGTATAGAGAGAGGCTAAATGACATGTTCAACTAGTAAAAGGCAGAAGTAGGATTTGAGCCCAAACTACCTAGTTCCAGGGTCTGTGCTCTTAACCATAACACTGTGTAGTTGCTCTCTCAACAGGTGGTGAGTTTCTAGTCATTAGAGTAGATCATTCACTTGATCAGTGGCTCCTTGAGTTTAGTCACACGTAAGTTCAGCACAGAAGGGAATTTAGAGGTCACTTTATTCAGACATGGGAAGACTGAGGCCCAGTCTCAGAAAGTGACTTGTGCAGATTGTACCAGGAGGCAATGGTAGAGCTGTAACCAGAAGCCAGGTGTCCCACCCAAGTGCCTTGTGCTCCGCTGTGGGCCACCCCACCCCCAGACTTGCCTGCACATTCCTGGAATCTGCCGTCTGTTCTGTCAGGCTGCCCCATAGTGTCTTTGCTCTCCTGGGTGCCAGCCAGCAGCTGTGTCTGATATTTGTCAGGTTTGGGGCCACAGAGGAGGGGCCTGCTTATGGCAGAAGGCCCAGGCATCTGCCTCAGCCCCCACCCATCCTTCCTGTTTATAGACATAATCTCAGTTATTCCCGAATCTTACAGGTGCAGAAGTTGGGCCTCGGTGGGTTAAATGGCTCACCTCCTGAGGTAAGCCAGGACAGTTAGTGCTTCCCAAGTGGAATGAGCATTCATTCATCCTTTCATTCACTCATTCATTCTTTCAGCCAACAAAAGCAAGCCTACTATATGTGAGGCACTGGTAGTGCATGCGTGAAATTTATGGTTCCTGCCCTCCAGGAGAGACATACTTGGTATCCTGAGAGGAGAATGCCCCGGAAAGGATACCTAATCCAGCTGGTTCAGGCAGGGGATCAAAAAAGGCTCCTTGGAGGAGGTGATGGATACCATGGCTAAGTCTTAAAGGATAACTGGGAATTAGCCAGGCAGAAAAGGGGAAATGGACACCAAGAGGACAGCACATGCAAAAGCAAGAAGCAAGAGCCCTCTCTATGTGCAGAGAACCGCAGGTGGTTCAAGGTTGCTAGGCCTGTGGGTGGACGCCAAGATCATACAGTCATGATAGGGGCCACCTAGTGAGCACTTACTGTGTGTTGGGCAGTGTGCTGAGCATTAGCTCAACAACTTTCTGAGTTAGATGCTTTCAATATCCACACTTGCAGATAAGGAAACCGAGGTGCCGTGAGGTTGAAGATCTCACGGGTAGTGAGTGCCAGGGAATGGGCTGAGAAGTACATGGATTTTGCCTCCAGCAGTTGGCAGTTTGTTCTGTAAACCCGAGGCTTGCGGAGGTGTGGTCTCCCTTCCCCTCTCTGAATTGGTGCTGTGCCTCCTAATGACTCTGTTCCCTCTTGCAGCTGGAAGGACTGTCTAGAGCCCATGTCATCGCACAGGAACTGCTGTCTTCAGAGAAAGCGTGAGTCCCCAAGCAGCTGCCTGTGGCCTTGAGCTTGTTAACAGAACGTCACCCCTCCCTGGCTTAAATGGGATGGGAATTAATGCAAACTCAACCCTCTTTCCCTCTGCAGATACATGGAGATGCTCCAGCACTTACATCTGGTGAGTTAATCATTTCCACTGTCCAAAACTCATTGCCCTTTTACCAGGCTGTGATATAAGAGGCAGAAAAGCAGTAAGGAGGCAGAGATGATTTTGATGAACAGAGGCTTGGCAGCAGATAGATGTCCACCAAGGCTTTTCGTGGACGTCTGTCTCCTGATTCATGTGCTTCAGGGGGTGAATGGCACTGTGCTTTCCATGGGTGTGTCTCTCTGCCTGGACCAGAGGTGTATGGGGGGATGTGCTAAGGTTTCTGGAAAGATGTTTGCAGTTTCCTCAGCCCTCTTGTTGAAGAAGGCAGGAGGAGGACAGATGTAGCGCTGGGTCATTGCTGTGTGTGCGAGTTTAGGTGTGTATGTGAGTATACGTGTGTGGGTGCATGCGTGTGTGGGGGGTGTATACATGTGTATGTATGTTTAGGTCTGTATGGAGAAGAGGATATGTTACCAGTGTGACAGAGCAGCTGGGGTTGAGAGAGGCTTTCTCAGTCATCCCAGCACTGGGGCAATAACACCTGAGCCCATGGAGAGGAAATCCTCTGGACTTTCAGAGGAAAGGAGGCCAGACTTGGAGACTGCCTGGGTATCAGGTACTGCCACCCTTTCCAACCCACAAAACTGCCTGGAAGGTCTCCCTTTGCAGTTAGTTCAGTTCAGTTCAACAAACACTTTTTGAGCACTTGCTATGTGACAAGAGTTGGGAAGTAGAAAGATCAGACAGGTCCTTTCCCAGGAGCTCTCTGGCTAGTGAAGGAAACAGATTAGTAAATGAGTAATCATCTGGAGCACAGGGGGGAAGGACTGACAACCTGGGGGAATCTAGGCAGACTTCCCTGAGGAGGTGACTTTTGGGATGAGTCATAAGGAGGGATGAAGGAAGAGGGTACAGCTGAGATGTGGGAAGTGAAGGAACATCAAGGGCACCTGCTCTTTGAGGTCTCTAAGCCATTTCCAGTCCCCTAGTAGTTTAGCATCTGATTCCACGCTGTGTTGCATTGTTCACCACGTCCATCCAAGAACATCAGAGCTGGGAATGTTCACCCTGGACATTTTGTCTGTGGTGATATGGAGGCCCAGAGAGAGTGACTGAGCCAGGGTGAACACCCTGTACTCCCAGTGCACTGTCATGTGTTAATCCTGTGTCTCCCAACTGCCTTTGGTCCTACAAGGACCTCTCTGGATGCTACAGATCACCCAACAACAAGCCAGGTCTCCTGCAGAATCCAGCTGAGGTCTCTGTCAGTGACATCACCCTACTGTCACATTGCTATGTGAGCAGGGGCCCCCAGGTCCCTGGAAGCAGGACAGAGCACTACTCTGGTCTGTGCACCGAGCCCCTCATTTTCGCCCTTTAGAATGAGAGCTTTGTGTTCATTATTAAACCCAAAAACCCTCAAGTATGAAGTGTACCACACTCTTACACCTAAAAGATTTCTTTAGGAAGGGCAGGAAGAGGCACTGTCCTGTTTTTTTCTTCTCTCTCACTTGCCTCTGAGCTGGCAGCATGACAGAGAATCTGGGCTTTTTGTTTTATGACTTTGTTAAGAGGGTTTTAACTGGGAAACTTCCATCTGTGTTTGCACTGCTTCCTGCCAGTTGGAAAGATGCTGAAACCGCTGGTAATCTATAATAATATCCTGAGGAGAAAAAAAAGAGCCCATAAAAGTCACAACTCATAAGCTAGTTTCGGGAAATTGTGGTCCAGAGCTACATTTATGACGTCAGTGTGCATAGGGACAGAAGTGACAGAAAAGCCCCAGTGTGACTCCCAAGTCCTAGCCAGGGACATGAGTCTAAAGGAGACCCATAAACTTCGAGACATTCTCCACCACTCCCGGTCTGGATCCATCTCTGAATGCTAAGATTGGCAGGTTATCTCTCAGAATTCCTCCTTATAGATTTGATGCTGTTGAACTCCCAAGACTCCCAGTGATGGGAAGGGCTGACCATGCATTCTGAACCTCCCTAGCTAGAAAGGTCTCTGGCTCCATTATGCTGTTTTGAGGGGGGATGGGGTGGCCTCTGGCCTTCTGTGTTTGTGATTCAACCCTGTACTTGTGAACTGGTAGACAGAGCTAACTCAGGGCTTACTAAAAGTTCTGGTCATCCAAAATTGAATCCTAATGATCAAGATCCTGTTTTTGCATAGCCTATTAACTAAGAATGGATTTTATATGTTTTACTTATTTTGTTTATTTATTTAAGATTTTATTTTTTTATTTGGGGGGATTGAGTGGGGGGAGGGGCAGAGGGAGAGGGAGAAGCAGACTCTCCGCTGAGCATGGAGTCTGACTCATGGGGCTCCATCCCAGGACCCTGAGATCATGTCCTAAGCTGGGGTTAGCCACTTAACCAATTGAGCGACCCAGGCACCCCTATATGTTTTAAATGTTTGTGAAAAAAGGCAAAGAAGATGCATCAACTGTACTAAGAGTTTTCCATATATTCTGGATACTAGACCCTTGTCAAATATATAATTTGAAAAAAAGAGGTGAAGAATATATGACTGAGATTGTATGTGGTCCACAAAGCCTTAAATATTTATTGTGTGTCCCTTTACAGAAAAGGTTTGCTGACTTCTGGTTTAAAGACTCCCTTCTATCCTTCCAGGAATCCAGTCATAAATGCATTCATCCCCCTGCCCATCTATCTGTATAATCAAATTCTCACCCACTCATGTAGCCAGCTTTTCAACCGCTCATCTGTCCTTTAATCTATCTATGCCCCTCTGTGGCACATCTGTGCTCCCATTCATATCTCCCCCTCAATTCACCCACTATTCAGAGGTCTACCCATCCTTTCAACCATCCACCCATCCTCCCATCCACCCATCTTCCCATCCATCCACCCATCCACCCACCCCCCATCCATCCAACCATCCATCCACCTGGTTTATTCCTTTTGGATGGGACATCACAGGATTTTTACAGTGCCTATGGCACTGAGATGGGCCTTCAAGGCCCAAAGATATATATGGCCTAGAAATCTGCCCTTGAACAGGTGTCTCTTATTTGTGGGGGGATAGGGTGGAGTGGGGAGGAGAAATAGGTAAATAGTTATGCTACTCCATGGTAAGTATAATTTGCACAATTATAGTTTTGTGCAAAATCTGCAGGAGCATGGGGAAGGGAGAGACTTATTCCCCTTTGGGGTATCTAAGAAGATTGGCAGAAGAGGTGCCCCTAAGATGGACTTTGAAGGAGCCTGAGGGAGGAGGGCACATTAAGGCAGGTGGTCAGCATGGAAATGTTCACAGGCCTGAAGGTACATGATATGTCTGGAGAATGGTGCATCATCACACATGGTTAGAACATGGATAAGTTTGAAAAGGCAGGTTGGAGGTGGAATTGGGGGTCAAATGATTGGCCCAAAAACCAAGTACCTAAAATGCCAGGCCCAGGGTTTATGCTAGTTATTCGTTATAGACCTTGAGCAGTTATGTCCCGTGGACATCTTCAGTGCTCTGTTTTCTCATCTAAAAAAAAAAAATCCCTCCCTAGCAAAAGCTGAAAATTCCTACCATGGGTTCCTCCTTTGTGCTAAGGCATTGAAGGCCTTTTCAGAAGCCAGTCTGCTGACTGGGAGAGGTAACCCTGGAAGTTATCACCATCTGATTCCCCAAGAGAAGCTCCCTCCCCTAAGAGGTCCTGTCTACCTCTCTGGCACTGCCTCCTACCATTTTTGTTGTTCGCTCCAGCCACTCTGGGCCTTCCCGCTCTTCTTCACATACTACAAATGCATTTCCGTTGCATGGCTTTTGCACGTGTTTTTCCTGCTGCTGGAATGTCCTACCCCAGATCTTCTCATAGCCAGTTCCTCCTTCTCATTCTGCTGTCAGCTCAAAGTGGTGCCCAAAACTTAGTGGCATAGAACAACCATGTTATTAGGCTTGCAAATTCTTTGGGCCAGCAATTTGGACAGGGCAAGGTGGGGAGAGTGTGTCTCTGCTTCCCAGTATCTGGGGAGGACTTCAAGACTAAGGGCAACTTGATGGCCAGGGGTTAGAATCATCCTAAGTGTCATCTTTCATGGCTTGTGGTTAGTGCTGGCTATTGTCTGGGACCTCATTTGGGCTGTTGGCCAGAACACATACTTGTGGCCTCTCCATGTGGTCTCTCTGCATGGGCAAGTTTGGGCTCCCTCACAGTATGGTGGCAGCATTCCAAGACTCAGTGTCCCAGGAGAGAGCCAGGAGGAAGTGCGTGGCATTTTTATGATCCAGGCTAAGTCACGTAGCACCACTTCCACCATACTCTATTAGTGGAGACAGTCACATAGGTCTACCCAAGTTCAAGGGGAGGGGATATAATTTCCAGCATCAGTGGGAGAAATATCAAGCTTACATTGCATAATGACCGTGTGAGATAGGAGACACTGTTATGAGCCATTTGGGGAAAATACAATCTGGGTCAACTGAGTTGTCAAAGCTGGGTTCAACTCAGTGGCTGTGCTTCTTATGTGTTCATTCTGGGACCCAGGCTGAAGGGACAGCAGGCAACCAGGGAAGGCTCTCCCCATGGTGATGGCAGGGAGTGAGCAGAAACACCGGAGGGCTTCTGAGATCCAGTCTCACGACTGGCACATCATCACTTCTGCCCACGTCCCATTGGCCAGAGCGAGTGCATGGCCTGGCCCATAGACAAGGGACAGGGATCTGCTCTCCCCATGAAGAGGCCATGGCAAGGGTGTGGATGCTAGGGGAGGGTAAGGAACCACAGCTGTGCCTCCTCTTCTGCACCATCTCATACTTCCTTTTATTTTCTTCACAGAACCTTTCATATCTAAAATCATCTAATTTATGTATTTGTTTACTTATGTTGTATTTTCATTTTTGTTCAATTCCAAATACTTTCTAATTCCCCTTGTGATTTCTTCTTTGACCCATGAGTTATTTAAAATTATGTTGTTCCATTTCCAACTATTTGTGAATTTCCCAAATTTCCTCCTCCTGCTGATTTTTAATTCCATCGTGGTTGGAGAATGTACTTTGTGTGGTTTTAA